GCCCAGCTTTTGGCATTTCTAGAAAGGATTGAGGAGGGAAGATCCACCCTGAGTGGGAGGCACCATCCCATGTGCTTGAATGGAAGGTTGGAAAGGAGAAAGCCAGGTGAGTACCAGCACAGTCCCTCTGTGCTCCTAAATCCACTCAGACATGAGCAAGCTCCACGTTCCCACTGCCATGCCTTCCCCGCCATGATGGGTTGTTTCCCCTCAAACTGTGGGTCACAGTAAACCCTCCCCTCAGCCCTTTAAGTTGCTCTCTGTCGGATAGTTCATCACAGCAGTGAGAAAGTATCTAATACAGCTACTCCTCTCCCTGTCAGAAACACAACCGAGGAGACTCTGATCCCCGCAGATATCTACATCCATAGAGCCCCGTGGTGTCCTGGGAAGGGATCAAGACCTCTCCTCAGAGGCATCTCTGTGCTGGTCTTCCACCAAGTTTTTCCAGCTCCTCTTTGCATCTAGTCTCACTGCTTCTCATTCATGTCAATGTCAGGTCCCCTCTACCTCAGTTTCCCAAACCCACCTGGGCCTCCATCATTCTTCACCAATCCATGGCCTAGAGACATGAAAGACAAAAGAACCTGCTGCAGGTTCCTGCCAGGCCAGCTCTTCCATGTTTTATTCTTTAGTGGTCAGTGCTATCTGCCAGAGTCCCCTTAGGAGATATGCTGTTGAAACTTCAAAGTTCAGCTTCTAAAAATCTCTATCTGGTTGCTGGGTGGTGGTGGTGGTGGTGGTGGTGGTGGTGGTGGTGGTGTGCACCTTTAATCCCAGCACTCGGGAGGCAGAACCAGGCAGATCTCTGTGAATTTGAGGACAGTCTGGTCTACAGAGCAAGATCCAGGAAAGGCTCCAAAAAAACTAGAGAGAAACCCTGTCTCAAAAAAAAAAAAAAAAATCTGTCTTTTTCTCTCACTTCTCTCTCATACACACACACACACTTTCTCACACACTCACATATACTCTCACACTGAAACTTTCGCAGTCTTTTTCTCTCAGTCTTCCTCATACACACATCCTCTCACACACACACACTCACACACATTCTGTCTCATGCACACACTCTTTCTCATTCATAATTCTCTCTCACACACACACAAACACTTTCTCACACACACACACTTTCTCTCACACACACTCTTTTTCATTCACATTCTCTCTCACGAACACATTCTCACACTCTCACACATACTCTTTCTCACACATACTCTTTCTCACACACATTTTCTCTCACACATTCACACATACTCCTTTTTCTCTCACGCACACTTTCACACACACACACACACACACACCTTCCCTAAAATTACCATCTCTGCCAGCAATTTCAAAAGTCTGTCCAGCCTCTTGCTGAGTCATTCATTCACCACACCAGCGCCGGGAAGGCTGAGAGAAGAGGAGTTAGGTTCAAAGTCATCGTGGGTCACATAGTGAACTCTATCTCCAAGAAGAAAAAGGGAGAGGGGGAAAGAGGGAAGGGAAGCAGAGGGGAGGGAGGAGTGGGGAGTAAGGGAGATAAAGAAAGGGAAGGAAAGAAAAGAAAAGAAAAAAGAATGTCCCTAACTCTGAAGGCAAGAGATGGCTATGTGTAGAAGGGAAATGAGGAAGCTTTGGTTAAATGCCCCAAATGGGCTTATCTCACAACACTTTTGTGGTTCTCCTGCCCCTTTGGAGTCTACTTCATTGACCCATCTGTCCATATTTTGTATCCAATCTCAACGAGCATCACCATTCACTCCTGAGCCAGGCACAGGGGTGACAAATGGGTTACATCCCGGTGACCATTTGGTGACACTTCTCGCAGTAGGTTGAACGATCTTGTGAGATTTCAGCTGGGCTCAGAGGGCAAAACTGGACTAGTCGTGAGTGTGGGGGGCGAGGTGGCAGTGTTGGTACTGGGAAGAGCCATCGCTGGCTGTTCTCTGAAGCCTCGCCCCCAAATCACTCAAGTAAATACTGCCAGAGGGCCTGTTAGTAAAACTGCTTCCTGAGGATGTAAGCAACATCAAGCCCTTCCTCCAACAGTCCCAGCAACAAGTGGAGATGTGATTTCGCCAATGTTCACCCTGGGAAACCAGTGAATTTATTAGGCTTATAGAGAAATGGGTGACAGGTTACTGGGAGAAGCATAGGCGGCCTTAAAGTGGCCATGCTGGGAGGTCTGCACCTAGCATGAATCATGACACCTCCCTGGCTGAGTAGACGGAGCCCCCTCCCCTAGTCCTCCCAGAGGCCAATTGCTATTAGGGTGGACTTGCATCAGCTGGTTGGAAGGTGTGGGTGGATACAAATGAGGGGAGGCCAGCTGTCAGCAAGCCCAGCTGTGATGATCTTCTGCAAGCCTGCACAGCTGAGCTGATAAAGATGTGGCAGTTTGGCTCAGAGGATAGTCCCCTACAGCAGGACCTGATGAAGAGAGAACGCTGTATATAAAAGACACTCAGAAGCAGCGCGAATCTACATAGTACCCTCTGCAAACAGCAGAGAAGAGTGTCCCCTCCACAGCCATCCCCTTCTCCCAGCACCTAAGCCTGTCCTCCGAGAAGTAAGGGAGCGTTTGTGGTTTTGTAACTTCTGGAGAGGCAGTGTTTGCACTAACTGTTCCACAGACAATAGGAGCCACAGCTGGTTGGTTTGGTTCTGCTTCGCAATGCTGAGGGTAGGACCCAGAGACTCACTAACGCTGTGCAAGCTCCCGACGACTGAGCTGAGCACTCCCCCAGCTCGTTGAGAACTCCATGGATGGCTTTTAAGAGGATGACTAGAAAGGCAGGATAGGGCTTTTGGCAAAACCGGTGCCATAGCTGTGGGTAGACTGGAGGGGAATGCTGGAGCCCAGCCTCCTTCTGGCAAAGTCCAAATGAGGTGCTCCCGAACAGGAAGGAATACAGAGATAACACGGAAACACGAGGCCAGTACAGCCAGATCGTGGGCTGTGGAGAAGCCCAAGAGTTCTGGTCGTCTTGCTGCCTGCGCCTGTAGCCTCTGTCTTCATTTCTAGAGTATCAAAGTCAGAAGATCCCCAAACAGAAGCCTGCCAGCAGAGTCCTTAACAGGGGACATGCCATGCCCTCTTCCCACATGGCCCAGGGGACTTTCTGGTGCAAGGGTGGTTCTGGGCCACTGTGAGAAAGGTCAGCCTACACTGCAGATGTGGCAGTGGCTCTATCCTTCTGGGCACTCCTCCAAGGCTTGGAATAATTCCACGGCCCAATCAGCGAGTGAAAGGCAAAGCAAGGCCAACACAGCACCTCCCATCTCAGTGAGGTTACGCTGGACGATGTTTTTGAAAGGTCCAGGGAAGCTCAGAAAGACAAGGGTGCTATGGAACCTGGTGAGGGGAGGCACAGAAGCAGAGGGGCTGTTCAATAGGGTTCACCCCTTAAAAAAGCTGAGACCCTGCTTCTCAGCCAAGGTTTGAGGTTCCTGAGTCCATTCCCCTTCTCCCCTCCACACTGACTCATCCTTTTGGCTGTATTTCTAACTCATCTTCCTTTCCCAGCATGCCTTGCTCTTCCTCCCAACATGCTCTTTTCTCATTCCTTCATACAAACATGGAATCAACAAAATGTTCTTTGAGCGTCTTGAAATAAGCCCTAGCAGACAATTCATAACCCTTCCTTCCAGATCTCCAATCTCAGCAAGTGCCCAGCAGGCATCCAGGAAGAAGGCTGAGCCTTTCCAGTCTTCTTTTGCACATTCTGAACACCCTATTCAACCATCAGGAAAAGGGGGGCATTCCTCAGCCCCGGCTGGGCTCCCTGTGCCTTGGCTCTGCTGGTTTCCTTTGATAAGTACATTGAGGTGTGGGAGTGGCCGGGGAGCCTTCAGGCCAGCTCCAAGCAGTTAGTTGGTCCTTTGCAACCAACCTCGCTCCTGGCACAGAACAAGACGTGAGGAGGTCACCAACCACAGGAGGCCTCAGGATGTGTCCAAGAACGAATACCAGACCAGAGTGCTATGAGGGGAGTGCAGGAATACTGAAGGCTGAGAGGAATTAGGGAAAAGCTTCACAGGTGGAAACTGAGACACCCTCCAGGTGGGAGTGGCTAGTAGAGGCCCCTAAACCAAACTGAGCAGGGCCATTTGCAGATGTGTAGGTCAGCTTCAGGGAAAGAATCCTCTGGGGTTGGTAAGAGAGAGCATGCTAGAGAGCTAAACTGGAGTTAGTTTGTAGAGGGCCTTGGATGCCAGGAATCATGGAAAGCCACTAAGCAGGGAAAGAACATTATTAAGTGATGATGCTTAAGTAAGAAAACCCCAGGGCCCTTCTTGAGTCTGGGTACTCTCAGCACTCAGGGCCACAGCTGTAAACAGCAGTGCTAAAGAACTTCAGTGGCCCGAAGAGTTGTCTCCATGGTTAAGAGCACCTGGTGATGCTCTCACAGAGCACCTGGGTTCAATCCCTCGCACCCACACGGCAGCTCACAACCATCTCTAAGCCCCGTCCCAGAGGATAGAGCAGGCACACATGAGGTAGACACACAAGCAAAACACCCATACACATAAGATAATAAAACAAATCTATTTCTACTGCAATGAACACAGGCCAAGGAAGGGACGGGCAAACACATACACTACCCTTTCATTGGTAACTCTGGTTTCGACGGTCCAGGCCACCACCTAAGAACTTAGAGGGATACACAGATGGAGAGATTAGCCCAGGGAAGTGCAGTGCCTCCCTCCTCTGAAAGTGGCCCAGGGCCACATCCTGAATTCTTCCCATCTCCCACACCCACAGGTGTGACTACTGCTCTGGCGGGCCAGTCTCTGCAGAGTCAGGGAAGGACCCCAAGAGGGGCCCCTGAGGAGACTCTGAAAGTGAGAGAGCCCGGAAGTCCGCTGCTGCTCAGACAGCAGGGTGCTGAGCTCCTGAGGAGGCAGAGAGGAAATCGGCAACAGCAGGCGGAGAAGGGGGCTCTGGGCAGCCCGTGCTCTATCACCCTTTAGTATGACATCATGGAGGCCGTCTGTGGGGCCCGAGGACAACTCACCCAGGAGCTGGGCTCAGAAAGACGCAAAAGACCACACGCAGCCGTATGGGTCTACTGATAGGAAGTATCCACAACGGGCAAATCCAGAGAGAGAGAGAGAACACAGAATAATGGTTGCCATAGAGAGCGGGAGCAGGGAGGCAGCAGAGTAACTGCTCCGTGGGTGATGTTCAGAAACTAGAGAGCAATGGTGGCATCAAAACACTAAACACACAGAATTCAACCGAACTGTGCCCTTCAGACCCACCCTCTAATGACTGAAGGATCAAGTTCATGTCAAATATATTTACCACTAAACTTTCCCTCTCTCCTGTGGGTTTTTGTCAACTTGTCCCTGGGAAGAGGGGATCCTGATTAAGAAAATGCTCTCATAAGATTGGCCTGTAAGCAAGTCTGGGGTTATTGTCTTAATGATTGAGGTGAGAGGTCCCAGTCCATTGTAGGTGGTGGCAGCCGTGGGCAGGTGGTCCTGGGGTACACAACAAAGCAGGCTGAACAGTGTTCCTCCGTGGCTTCTGTTTCAGTTCAGATTTCCAGGCTCCCGCCTTGAGTACCTACCTGCCTTGATCTTCCTCAGTGATTGAATATGATGTGAAAAATGTAAGCTGAAATAAATTGTTTTTGGTAATGGTGTTTTGTCACAGCAATGAGAACCCTAACCAAGACACCCTTGTTTTAGAAGTGGTTGGGCTTCGGCCATTGTTAAATTGCCATCCAAGGGATGCCTACGAGGAGAGGAGGTTCAGTAACCAGATGGCAGGGACTGAACTTCAATAACGTGAAGGAGCAGGCCAGAGGCCATCAGACTGGCATCAGAGCCTCACTCAAAAACAAGGCCAGGGGCCAGGTGGTGGTGGCTCAAACCTTTAATCCCAGTACTTGAAAGGCAGAGGCAAGCAGACCTCTGTGAGTTCAAGGCCAGCCTGGTCTACAGAGCAAGTTCCAGGACAGGCTCCAAACCAAAGTTACACAGAGAAAACCCTCTCTCAAAAAACAAATAAACAAAAGAACATGGCCAGGCTGAACCCTATGATGAACACACGAACGAACACACACACACACACACACACACACACGATAGTAATCATTGAATCATTGATACCATCACCAAATATTTCCAAAGCACAAAGTGCCCCTGTTTTGGGCACATAATAAGATTGTACTTTCTTCTGCGTCGTGGGACCATGTAACCAGTTAGCTCTGGCCAAGGAAATGAGAGGATTGGTCCTAGAAGTCCTGATACAAGGTCTTCTGGGAACTCTTGTTCCCTCTGATGCAGACTCTGTCCTATAAGCTTGAGTGCAAGTGAGCGTGAACAGAGCCTTTTTTGACTGGCAGTGGACACAGAGTTCAAAGGGAGTAAGCTGCTCTTGTCTGCATGTACTCAAACCCCAGGTGGTTTACTACTCCAGCATCATCCTCCCCATCCTGGAAGGATCAGCATTTGGCCCCCTGGCAGCTTGGATGCAGTCTCACTGTGGGCCAGAGACATTAGTGGTTAGTAAAGAAAGCCAAACAGCACTTCAGTACCTGCTTATAAGATAGGAGTGTGTGTTGTTGGGGTTTTTACTCTTTTTGGAGGCCCACCACCCAGCTCCCAAATAAATCACACACAGAGGCTTATTCTAATTATAAATGTCCGGCCTTAGCTTGGCTTATTGCTTGCCAGCTTTCCTTAACTTAACTTAGCCCATCTGTCTTTTGCCTCTGGCTTTTACCTTTCTCTATTTCTGTATACCTTTCTTTGTTTCTTACTCCGTGGCTTGCTGGTTGTGTAGCTAGGTGGCTGGACCCTGATGTTCTTCTCTTTCTCTGGCTACTCCATTTCCCTTTCCCTCAGATTTCTCCTTCTATCATTCTCTCTGCCTGCCAGCCCCACCTATCCTTTCTCCTGCCTTGCTGTTGGCCATTCAATTCTTTATTAGACCATCAGGTGTGTTAGACAGGCAAAGTAACACAGCTTCACAGAGCTAAACAAATGCAACATAACAAAAGTAACGCACCTTAAAACAATATTCCCTAACAGGTGTGTTCTTTCTTCTCTCCTCCTGTTCCTCTGGCAAAATGGAAGGCCTGGGAGAGCAGGCAGGCAGTGAAGGAGCACACCCCATTTTCCTCCTCAGGTTCCTGTCCTTAAGCAGAAAAGAGATGTGTATTAAATCAGGTAGGATTTCATCTGTAGCTCACTAAGCAAAGCTATAGTAAACTGGAATGCACAGAAAGCAAGGAGAGCTTTGCTATCTCAAGCACCAAGGAAGGGAAAGTCCACAAGTCTTTATCAAATGCAGTAATTGGGGCCCATGCAGGACCAGCAAGGAGAAGACGGCACCTTCACAGAGGGGTGAAGAGTTAAATAGGACAGGACTATTTCCGGAATGATAGTCAAGTTAGGAAAACCCACAAAGCCAGCAGCAGGAGGGAAGACTGGGACCTAGAAGGGGACAGTGGCTGTAGTGGGAACACCAAGTTCACAGTCTCCAGAAGAATATCCAATGGGAAAACGTAAAATAGCTCCATAGACCCACATGTTAAATAGGTCACTGTCAGCTCCTTTGAAGATTATACTTGGTCCCTGTCCTCCCCACCTCACCCCTCATCTTCCATGAGATGAATTGTTCCCTCCTCTGCATGTTCCTGTGGGACCACAGAGGGTGTGGATGGGCCTAAGAGAGCCAAGGAGGTAACGAGACACCAGAGACTAGTGGTGGTGGAGAGCACTGGGGTAGCGCGAATCTTAAAAGTTCTTGTTAATAAAAACAAACCTGGAGCCAGGTATTGGAGTAAATTCCAAAAGATCAGAAAAGCAGAACAAGTCACAGCTAACCTCACCTGGCCAATTCCTCAGCTGATCCTGTTTCCTCAAACTGGAAGCTTCTGAGTCCTCACCGGAATGGATCTCAGCTGAACAGCTGCTCAAAAGCCTAAAAGCTTAAAAAGCCTCTAGTTTCTGGTCTTCATGCCTTATATACCTTTCTGCTTCCTGCCATCACTTCCTGGGATTAAAGGTGTGTGTCTTTCCCAAGCAAATACATGAAATCTCAAGTGCTGGGATTAAACGTGTATTGTTCCTAGGTACTCTGTTCCTAGTGTGGCCTGGAACTCACAGAGATCCACTCGGATCTCTGCCTCCCAAGTGATAGGATTAAAGGCATGTGTGCCACCATGTGCTGGCCTCTCTATCTAGTGGCTGTTCTGTTATCTGAATCCAGATAAGTTTATTAGGGTGCACAATATATTGGGGAACACAGTATCACCACACATTGGCTGTCTTCTCATGCATGAAGGGCTGGGAGACAAGGGGGAATGTGAAGACACAGGAGTCCTTCCCAGGAGAATGGCTGTGAAGGACACAGTCCAGCACCCCCAACCTCCATGAAGAAGATTTGCCTAGATTTTCACTCTAGTGCCTTCCACTGGGTGAACTCCAAGGACACAAGGAGAGAAAAGAGATTGAATCTACTGGGAACCTGACATAAAAACTAACCAGTTTGCAGTGAATGAAAACCAGGACAGCAGACTGGGTTTTGTTTGTTTGCTTGCTTGTGTTTGTTTTTGCATTTGTAAAGGGGACCAAAGAGGTGGCTCTGCCATTAAGAGCACTGGCTGCTGTCCCAGAGGACCTGGGTTCAATTATCAGTACCCACATAGCTGCTTACAACTATCTGTATATGCAGTTACAGGTAACCAGACACCCTCTTCTGGCCTCTGTGGGCATTGCATGCAGATGGTACACAGGCAGGCAGGCAAATCAGCCATACACATAAATAACTAAAAAGAAGAGAGGTAGATGGGGATGTGACTCAGAGGTAAAATATCTGTCACACAGGGGGCTCTGGTCTCGATGTGGCACTTGAGGGGAAAGGAAGGAAGGAGAGAGCTAGAGATAGAGACAGAAAGAGGTAGACAAACAAATCATGCTTTAAACTGACACCAGATTCAACCAAGCCACCCCTGATGAAATGGTGGCAGGATAATCCTGGCTAAGATTGTTCTGAAATTCTTCTGTTAGAGCCAGACATCTCTAAGGACCCCAAAGACCCCAAGGCCCGAGTAAAAGAGGTAAATTGTTACAGAGAGATACAGCAACGTGGCATTTGCCTCTACCTAGCCATCCTCTGTCCCCAAAAAGCAAGAATATCTTTCAAAAACAGGAAAACAGCCTGCCTTAGTAACATAAATGCCAACATAGTCCCTGGATCCTCAGAGCTGGTTAGATCCGGTTTGAATCCTTTCTTTCCAGTGGTACTGTGGCTGGCAACAGTGGTGGTTGGTCTAGGTAAGCCTGCTGCATGGTTCATGTCATGGGGTGTGTGTGTGTGTGTGTGTGTGTGTGTGTGTCCCCACCCCCACCCCCCAGCCTTTCAGAGCACTCAGATCCTGACATTCCAACTCTAACCAATTACAATCAACTGATGCTCTGTATCTTGAAGGATCAGCTGCCTCTGGAAAAGCATTCATCAACACAGTTAAAGAGGGAGGTTCAACTTCCTTAGTGGGAATGCAAGGCAGATAAGCACAGGCAAGGGCCAGTAGAATCCAGATCACCCCCTGCTGTGCAGTTAACTAGAAGAAAGAACTTAACTGCTATCTTCCGAAGCCTGAAGTGCAAAGGCTCAGAGAAGGGGATGGTGGGAAGTGGTCCTAGTCCGGTAGATGACTTTTGCCAGGAAAATGGAAAGTAAGCCTTTAAGACTTCAACTCACTCCATGGTTCCTCCCTAAAATATGATAACAGGGTACAGCAGCAATGCATGTTGTCAACTTTATAGCAACACCCCGCCCCCCAAACTGCCCCTCTTGCTAAGGACGTGGCTACTATTTAAAAAAAAAAAAACAGATGCAACACACCTGAGCATGTCCAAGGGGCAGGGTGGCTTCTTCATTGCACATAGATGCTATCCACTTGCCACAGGGATCCACTGCTTCTCGGGGACTGCCCTGTCAAGAGGTGGGAGAGTTCTGTTGCTGATTCTACCAAAGATACTATTTAGGCTTACAGCAGCCCTGATTAGATTTCTCGTTGTTAATGTACATTCACACTTCATGTCTTGAGAAAATAAATAAATAAATAAATAAAATAAATAACACAAGCCTCCCAGCAGAGGGGTCACAATTTGGAGGAGATAAAAGTAGAATCACAGTAAGAGTGACAATCTACTTGTGATAAGCCCTTCCCATTTT